TCTCTTTGTGGAAGTCAGATATATACCATCATTCCCTTGACTAATGTCCATGGTTGCTTTATTCTAATGTCTTGCTTTATTCTCACAGCCACCCCACCCCCAAGAAGGTTCTGCCCCAGTTGGGACCCAAACACACCCTCTCTCAAGGGATCAGCCACTTCCTCTCTCAGAGTCTCAAAATGGTGCTTAAGTCTCATCAGCTGGAACATTCCGGAGCTCAGTGCTTCTAAGCTGCTATGGGGAGGAACTGAGAAAGTTCCCCAACCTTCAGGCAGCCCTGGGTGTGACACTGGTGAGACCCCTGCTGGTGAGACGTGAAACTGCACCCAGGCCTCTCGGAATCTCAGCAAAGCTCTGAGGGTGTCACCTAACCGAGTCAATGGAATCATATCCTCTTTTCAACTTTCGTTTACCACTGTCTTCCCCATGCCTCCTCTTCCTCAGGATATAACCCACTACCCCTTGTCAACCAAAAGGCTGGACGGCCCACCCCCCTGACAGGAGACAGAACCAACCGTGAGCACTCACCCCCTCCTAGGCCTCAGCTGAACTCCCAGCCCACCCCTAGAGGGAGGGGAGGGGAGGGGAGAAGACACTTGGAACCCCAGATATCTTGGCCAGGGTGCCCACAGATTGACAGATAAACTGCGCTCCTTTATGGCTCCCGGCGGTAATAAAATCAGGGGCTCCTCAGAGTCTTTTTCTGTTGCTAACAGAATTAGAAAATAAAAATAAATCCTAAACATACATCCCCCACTTTGCCTTGTGGAAAGAGAGCATCTGTTTTGTTTTGCCTAGAACGACCTTTCACCTTCAGTTTACAGTTTCCCTTCAAACAAGACTAAAAGCCGCCTCCAAACCCCTTTCAAAAAGAAACAAGGGGCCTACAAAGTGCCAGGGGGCAAAATTAACAACAGCAATCTGTACCCCTTGCCCACCATCAACCCCTCCCTGGTGTCTCCCACTTGGAACCAATCTGGTGATCAAGCTCAGATGGTGCTTAACTCTCCTGTCTTAGGGGGCAAGCGCAGTCGAGATGGCCACCCTCAGCCATGGCGTCCCGCAGAGCAGACGTCTTCTTCTACGCCGCCTGCCTTCCACAGCCACACAACAAAAACAACCCTATCTGGTGACATGGCTCTAACGCCATTCACCTCTCACAAAATCAAACTATGTCCCAGTTGAAATAAGATAAAATATCCCTCCCCCACCAGTCTTCAGCAGCCGTCCTCACCCCCAGTCCCAGCCATGGGGGAGCCTAGCCCCTCAACTCACAGGCCAGCAGGGTCTTCCAGCTCGGACGCCAGTTCTGGGCCAGGCCAACCACAGCATACTGCTCTTCCATCCACCCTTGTTTTTCTCTACTAAATATAACTACATATTAAAACCTACCAGGCATAAACATTAATTAGAAATGAAAGCCACTAGATTTACAAAAACATGCCATCTGAGCAAGACATGAAAAAAATGCTAAGAACTAGGTATAAGTGGAATCTTTCTCAGAAACCGTCAACTGTTATCAAATGGCTAAATTTAACTCTTGTTTTACTCATTCGAGGCTTAGAAGCATTTTTCTTCTTAAAAAAAATGTTTCTTGTTTGTTCAAAGTAAAAAAGCTGAAAACTCTATGAACCATAAAGAATAACACACATAACAATCACTTTCTCATACACACACAGACAGGGTATGTCAGCAAAGCAAATCCCATGCTAATGTTAGAGTCATTTCCTGCAAAGTGTTTATCAATAACAATAATTAAGGCAGCTATCATCTTATAAATCAAGCATTACACCCAGAGTTTTATCTGCAATTTATTTTCCACAACAACCCCAAAGGTATTATTATTGTTTCCAATCTATCAATACAGTAGCAAAGTCTCAGGGAAGTGAAATAAACTAGCAAATGGCACAGTTGGGATTTTAAATCACCACAGTCCATCTATCCACAAAATGTGTGCTCTCTGCATCCTAACCAGATCCTTTCTCTTTGTTTTTACAGAGCTCCACTAGGTCTACAGAGTGGAAAAAGAGTTGGACGCGATTGAAGCAATTTAGCACGCATACACTCTTGAACAGGAGTACAATTTTGAAAAGGAAAGCGTGTGCACGAACGAGGCCCAACACCCCTGCAGTCACTTTCATTACAACTAAGAAGTTCCTGTTCATCTGACCCCCTCCTCTCCGCCCTGCCAAGGAACAGGCAGTAAGAAGGTGATAATAACCAGGCCAAGGTCTCCAAGTGTGTGTGCACATGTGTGCTGGTTCTCTAAAGCTCTTGTACCAAAGTACCACAAACTGACTAGCTTCAACACCAGAAATTTCTTGCTCCACAGTTCTTGAGGCTGGAGCTCTGAGACCAGGGTGTCAGCAGGGTTGTTCCTCCTGGGGGCTCTGAGAGCCCATCTGCTCCCTGCCTGTCCCCTGGCTTCTGGCAGTCTTAGCGATCTCTGGTATGCTTCGCTTGTAGAAGCAAAGCCTCATCTCTGCCTTCATCTCTGCACTGTGCTCTCTCCTGTGAGTATGTCTGTGTCCCAATTTCCCCTTTTAATAAGGACATCAATCATATTGTATTAGGGCCCACCCTCACGATCCCACCTTAATTAATTACATCTGTAATGACCCTATTTTTAAATAAGGTCACATTCTAAGGCACTGACGGTCAGGACTGCAATGTATGAATTTGTGGGAGGGGGGACACAATTCAACTCATAACACCAAAAGAGAGGCAAAAATGCATGTGGCGGGAGGGGAGGCTGAGGGTGGAAGGGACAGAGGAGAGGAGAGACTAAGAGAGGGAGGAGCAGGGAAGGGACAGAGAGCAGGAGGGGAGGACAGACCAGGCTGGCTGACTGTGGCGAGGCTGTGTGAGCTCTCTCTGCCAGAATGCTTCTGGAGGGCAAGTGTGGGATGGTGCTGGTGTTTCTTATGACAGGGTGCCCCTGTCACTGTGAGTAGTAGGTAAGGAACATGTTAATTGTGAACATGTTTGAACATCATTGTGCCATCTCTAGCCACCCACCCTCCACTACTGGTAGTGATTCTTGAATCATATATTGTCCCACGGAATTCTGCTGCCTTCAAGCTGGTATGGATGACTGGTGGACTTTAAATATACACTGCCTTAGAGAACCTTGGGGCGATCTTACTTGTTATAACAGAATAGAATTTTCAAAAAAACAAACACAACTATCTAAAATAGAAGGTAAGGTGTCCTTATCCCATGCCTCCTGCAGGGAAAATCTATGTAAATATAAGACATCATTTGCTCTCCCCAGTGGTGAAAGCTTGCTTCAAATAGAGCATGCATACTGTATAGGCAAGTATACCTTAAGATGGGCTTTAAATGCCATTGGAACTCACTTCTTCTACAGTTTACTTGGCATTACTATCACTGAATAAATGTTGTGCAAATGATGTGGATGCTAATATCAATTGGTAAACTGGCAAACCACATCAGCTGAAGTGAGAAAAAGTGGTGGTAATTATTCTTAAAACCCACAGGACTAAGGAATGGGCAGAAAGGGGCAAGGGCCAGGAGGAGAGAAAAAAAAACGTGCTCTGGGGGTTCAGACAGGGCAAGAGCAGGCTCCTGCAGCTGATGATCACAAGAGGCTATGAAGCAGGTGTGACTGAGCTGGCTGAGAAAGACAGAAGGGGTTTCTCAAGGTGGAGGCAAGTAAGGAGAAACCTCCCAAGAGACAGAGCAGTACAAGCCAAGATGAGAAGGTGAGTGTTCTGCACAGCAACAGGGAGCGTGAGCGTCCAGCCTGGCTGGAGTGACTGGGCCGTCACAAAGCCCTCAGATGCCAGAGCCCCTGGGACCAAATTTCAGAATACATCCAAGACTCAGTTACAGAATCAAGGTGAGGATCCCCTGGAGAACTCCCTGTGGACTCTGCTCCATTAGGCTGGTAACCTAACATCCTGCAGAAACTGTGCCCCATTTCAAATGCTCCCCAGGAAACCATGGAGCGGCCACCCTCTCTCTCCTCTACCTGGAGCCCTAAAGACAGCTGCCCCAACTCATTTTCCCCAAAACAGAGGGCCTGCAGGATGATTCCTGCCTGAAGAGATGGGAGAAGCTGAGAATCACCAGCCTCCTAACTCCTACCCACACCTAATCTCTTTTTATTTTCTTCCATGTAATCAATAAACCATTTTGAGCACCTCCTCTGCATAAGATTCTGTGTCAGGATTTGCAAGAAGGCCAAGAGGCCTCTGACCAGAACACATGATATCCTGAATTCCACTTCACCCCTATTTCAAATTGCCCCTGCCTCCAGGCACTAAACCCCCACTAGTTCTTCAAGCACAAGCTGCTTCCAGCTTTCACATCCCCAACTCAGAGTTCTCCCCCAGGGTCTCTTTGAGACCCAAATCATTGTCATTTCCCTGACACCTATGGCACAGAAGGGAATGGCAACCCACTCCTGTATTCTTCTTGGAAAATCCCACGGACAGAGAAGCCTGGCAGGCTACAGTCCATGGGAGTCACAAGGAGTCAGACAAGACTAAACACACATGCACTGCCCCCACAAAGCCCCCAAGCATTCATGTTCCACAACCATGTCACAAGCAGGAAAAAGTTCTTGCTAACTATAGTGCTGGGAGAACCTCCCTATACAGTTTAATAACGAGGACCAGGATTGGACACGGAATCCTAATGACCCAAAACAAAACCATCTTATGCTGAAGCCAGCATGACTTAGTTCAGTCATACTTCCTGAGTCTCCATTAAGCTTGTCACTCCAGAATCAGGTAAAACTTGATAAAAAATATAAAGCTTTTGGAACTCTCAGGAAAGCATCAATGGCTTATGAGCTTAGAAAGGCAGAGAGACATGAAGGAATACTCTTTGCGGGCCCGGTGGAAGCACGTCCCTTGGGAGGGAAGAATGTACTCCACAGAGGGGGCGACACCTGCAGAAGGGGCTGCAGCCCAGTCTGGGAGGAATCCAGAGTCTGGCCTCTGTGATGTCACCCCCCTGGGGCTGGGTGGACACTGAATTCTGGAGTGTGTGTGCAGAATGCCCTACTCATGTCCATGCCCACCTGTCAAAATCTTACCTGTCTAAGGTAGGTGTGTGGCTGGCTCCCCCCAAACCCTCTCCTCACTCTCCTGTCGGGAGACCAAACCTGTGGGGAATATGTTTCCCAGACTCCCCGGCAGCTGGTGGTTTGCACATAAGTCAGGGTTCGCCAGCAAGTCTATGCAATGTGGGGGGAGGGAACGCAGCTCCTGCTGTCACGGTGGTCACCCCAAGCCCAGCCATCACGCTGGAGTTTCCGGGTATCAAAAAAGCTTCTTGTCCAAATTCTAATGCCTAGTCTTCAACTTAGGGCTGAGATCCTTTAGCTTCCTGGGTAGTCCAGAAACAGCTGTGAGGCTGGCAGCTATAGGGATCTAGGAGTCTTTCAAAAGGCTCAGTCTAGAGCCTGCCCTCCAGCCCCTCCACCAAGCTGTAAGCACCGAATTCCCAATACTAAACCCCTTCTGCCTACAATACCTGGAGTGGAGTCTGCTTCCAGCGCTGACCCCTGGTGGATAAACCATCTGGATAAACCAAGCAAACTCAAATGCCACGGAACGGTAGTAGAAACACTCCTGGAAGTGCCACTATTTAAAGGAGGACCACAAGGCTCAAGTGACAGCCTAGTCGGTCCCCAGGGCAGGTTGAGGGGAAGGCCCTGGGTGTTCTCACCTGGGAACTGAGAGGGAGGACAGGAGGAACGGGGGAACACGTCTATGGGGAGGGAGATAGGGCAAGGTATAGGCCAAGCGTGTCAGTGCCAGGACGGGAGCTCAGTTACCTAGAGGATAACAAAAAAGGTCTGAATTCAGTGTGAACACTGGAGAAGTGCAGCCTGCAGCCAGCCTCAAAGAGAAAAAGGCTGGAGCTGAAACAGGGCCAGTGGAGAGGAGCTGGGAACACAGCAGACTGCAGGGGGCTGAGAGTCAAGGCAGCTGAAGCATCCAGTGTCTGCCAGGCTCAGAGCTAGGATGCTGGAGCTGGCTGTTGATTAGTGCTGGGTCCAGGTGCCTGGAAGGCTCAGTGACAGGGAGAACCAACTGGGTCTGGATGTGCTGAGTTTCCTTACACTGAGGCATCTCTGCCACCAAGGGAGAGGGATGCTGCATTGTTAGGTGACATCACTAAGAGACCTCAAGGTCAAGAGAAGGAATGTGTGCTAATTAGGAGCCTAATCCATACTATGCTGTGCTGTGCTTAGTCACTCAGTCATGTCCGCCTTTGTGACCCCATGGGCTGTGGCCCGCCAGCCTCCTCTATCCAAGGGATTCTCCAGGCAAGAATACTGGAGTGGGTTGCCATGCCCTCCTCCAGGGCACCTTCTTAACCCAGGGACTGAACCCAGGTCTCCCACATTGCAGGTGGATTCTTTACCATCTGAACCACCAGAGAAGCCCAAGAATACTGGAGTGGGTAGCCTATCCCTTCTCCAGAGGATCTTCCTGACCCAGGAATTGAAACCCGGGTCTCCTGCATTGCAGGTGGATTCTGTACCAGCTGAGCTACCATGGAAGCCCCAAACTATACTGGACTGATTGATGCATCTAAAAAGCTTGAGATTGCAGCAACATTTCTAGGCAAGTTCTACTATTTTTTCCCTCATAATTCTAATCAGGGTGCTTTAAGCCAGTGCTTCTCAAGCTTGAATGTGCATCTTTCACTTGGGGGCAGGGGTCCTGACTTAAATGCAGGTTCTGATTCAGTAGGTCCAGGGTCCAAGATTCTGCATTTCTGGTCTGACCACACTGTGAGTAGCCAGACTTGAAGCTTTGTAAGCATCAGTCAGCATGTGAACTACTTCCAGATGCACTACCAGGTGCCAAGTGTCTCTTCCCTATTTCACAGATGCAGATTTCACATCAGCAAGAAGTTGAGGAACTAGCCCAGGGCCACACAGGGGTAAGGAACAACTAACCAGCCCGCCAGCTCTCACTGCTGACAGATCTGTTTTCTGCTTCCCCTCACCCTACCCTGAGGCCTTTGGGAGAATGTGATTTAATTTCTCATTTCTGTGGACTCTAAAACCTGTGCCAGGGAGAGAGAGTTGGGGAAAAGAGGGGGGAGGGGAGGAAGGGCACTAAAAGCCAACTGTCACCCAGAGCCAGGTGACCGTTGTTATGGAAACAGACCCTTGCTTGCTAGCTGACCCAGTCTTGTTGGTCCCTTCCCCCCAGGATCCAAGGAGGCCACTCATCGCAGAGCAATGCAAATGGAAGATAATCATAGGAAAGGATGCTCAGACTCAATGGGAGCCAAAGAAATGAAAATCAAGACAACAGTGAGCTATCACTGTCTACCCATCAGAGGGCTAACAATGACAAGGAAGCAACAACTCATGCTGTAGGGAAGGGGGGACAGGTACTCTCACCAACTGCTAATGGGAATAGAACTATTTTGGGGAACATCTTCTGGAACTATCTATCAAAAATAAAAAAACCATACCCTTCAGCTCAGCACTTTTACTCTTGGGAATCTCCCCATGGGAAATAAAAGCAGTAGTTCACAAAGATACACACACATATACAAGGATGTTTATGGAAGCAGTTTATGGATGTTTATAGAGATATTTATTTGTAAATAAAAAGCTGGAGACAAAGTGTATACCAATCAATAAAAGAATGGTTGAATAAAATAAAGTCCATCCTTTCTAGGGAATAAAGAGGATGACATAAGAGGTATACTGACTGACTGGGAGGGATTTTTCTATGAAGTACTGATGAATGAGAAAATCAATGTACAGTGAATGTGATGACCACAGCCCCATTTTTGTAAAACAATTTCTTTAAAAAAATCTTGTACGCAACTCTATGTGTTCATGTGTGTGGGTTTAACTGTCTAATTTTTATAAGCATAGATAAAAATATGGGAAAATTCCAAGTTATTAAAATGAGTTACTTAGTGTGGAGCTCACAAAGGGAAATGGAACAAAAAACAAAACAAAACCAGTGCATTCCTCCCTATGTCCTCCCTATGTGTGTGTGAGACATACACACATACACACACATTCCCGCACTGAAGAATGATGAAGTATGAAAAAGTCACAGTTTGAAGAGTGCCTGCTCTCCTCCATCCAAGCTTCCAACTCACAAGGCGGCTAGAAGTGCAGACCTGCCACTCTGCCACAGTGCTATTTCCAGCAAACTTCTCCCACCACCTGCAAGGTGTGAATCTGGAAACGAACTGTTATATACTCTCCCCTCTCCCGAGAACCCATTAGAATAGCCACGAGTCACAATAGCTCAGCTGCACACAAACTAAGCTTTTCTTTTCTATAGAAAAGGCCTGTCTTTTCAAGGCCCCTGTTACTATCACCACCACTGCCATCCTCCCCACCCAGAGAAATGAAGGCTAAGACCAGAAGCACAGGCCCCATGTAGGGAGAGAGGCCAGTGGCCTGTTCTTTCTCTGATCCTCTTCATCCTTTGGGGTGCCTCCCAGAGCCCCGTCCTAGATTTGCTCAGTCCTTGCGGGCATCTGTCCCCAAAGGCCACCATGGAAGGTGCCATCAGAGGCCAGTAGGTGTAAAGGGAAATGGTTATCTCATTCCCCACTCAGGTCTGGTGCTAGCGTTCCCTGAACCCTGCGTCACAGCCTCCTCATCAGAGGAACACACCATTTCCAGGGAGAGAAAATTCACCCTGACCCGGACAACATATTTATTTTCTGAAAACTCTGCTTTTTAATGAGTTCCTCTTTACATCACGGTGACTGTCAGCTTGTCCAAGCTTCTACTCTCTGGTCTAAGCCCTGCCCCACCTTCCGGAGCCATAAGGAACAAGCGCATTTCCTCTCTTACATGAAGACAGAGATCATGCCCCCCTGGGTTCTCTCTTATCTTGACTAAACATCCCCCGCTCTTCAGACTGGTGCTGAGCACACATCTCAGGAATTTCCTGATGGCAGCTCAAGCTGTTACTCTTCCAGTCAAGCCCAAGGATTTTGACAGAAAGGATACCGGCAAAAAACCCACGTGCCCAAGCCCTCCAAAGGAATGACTCTGCACCATCTCTGGCAGAAAAAAACTTAAAGGAGATACGGAGCAGGCTGGGGAGGAAGGCAATTCCAAAGGCCCTTCCAATTCCCCAAGAGCCCTCCTCTGAAGAACGTGAAAGAAGCCACCACTGGTGTTCCAACACAAATCACTGCAGCCCAGATTCCAGGTTCAGCCCCGGGTGCATCCCTCCGAGCTTGTCTGGTCATGACTTACACAGGGAAGGCTGCACAGACTAAATCAGGTGTGGGAAAGGCCGCAGGAACCGAGAGAGGCAATTAAGATGTATGTCCTGGAGAAGGTGACGTGCATCTTGGCTCCCTTACAGCTGCATGCTGAAGGGCTGGGGGCAAGTGCGCTGGGCATGCCAGGCTCATTGGCTGGCTGTGGGCACAGGGCTGCCATGGGAGAAATAAACCAATTCAGAATTAGGGAGACCTGGTATTTTAGAGCCTCAATCTTAGAAAGAGCTATCAAGGATAAAAACAACAGTGGGTCCACAGCATTTTAGAATTTCCCAAGAGATGGAGGCAGTAAGGTTCCAAAATTTCATTCCTTGAAGGAGGAATCTTAGTAGGGTTTTAAGAGAACTTGTTCATCAGGGATCTGCTAGTTATCAGCTGAGCAATATCGGGCAGGCAGGTCACTTACCTGCTTAGAACCTCAGTTCTGCCTTCAATAAAAATAAAAATTGCTTCCACATAACAAAACAGAAATACAGATCCAATAAGGGGATATTACTATGTACACTAGATGGCTGTGTGACTGGCAGGTGAAGGTACCCAGTAAGAGACTGGGGAACTAGTAACTAATATGAAGCTATGGTGACTGGGTGATAACTTTGAGCCGCCTTCCTCAACGAATTGAAAAGAATGGACTAGATGGAAACTAAGTGAGCATGAAAGCTGATGACAAGCGTAAACGGGCCCCTAGCCCAGGCCCCGCACAGAGGAGGAGCCTGCCACCGGGAGATGGTCTGAGGACATTCCACAGCCATCAGCTGGATGCTCCCAAGGGAGAAGGGGCCGTTTCATCCCTGCTCCCCTGGAACAATGCTGAGTCTCTTGAATGCCTCTTTTGTTCCGTGCAGCACAAAAATCACAAACATTTTTTAACTACCCTGGGTTTTTTGAGCTGTTTGTTCTTTTCTCAAAGGTCCTAAGATCACAGAAAGGCTTCCAAGAACAATAGCGGGTAACCTGCTCTGTGCAGTTGAAACAACAAGGCCGAGGGTTTCTGGCTGAAGGAGAGAAGGCCGGCCGAGGGGCCCAGGCGGGACCGGTGGGGTGCAGCCCTGCCCCTGGGCTCCCCCTGGGATGGGGAGCTCTCACTGGGTCTGCAGGATTCCTGTGGGATGCCTGGGGCCCTTGCTGATTTCTCCAGGATCAGATTCCAGTCAAAACTCACATGGTCTCTGTCTGCTCTCTGAAAATGAAAAGCTTAGGTTTCTACCCTATCTTCTAAGGCCTCCATCAAGGCCCCAGGAAAGGGGTGATCTGTTCCAAGAAGGGAAGAGCCTAGATGTCCAGAGAAGGGCCTCACCCCTCCCACTTTGCTGCTGCTGCTGTTCCCTCTTTTTGGGGTATCTTCCGTCTGAATACCACTGTCACCTCTCTGCTGCCCAGATGTCCCCACATGGGCTACAGAGAAGGACAGCTTGGTAAAGAGCCTCAGACTGTGTGTGGAAACATGGCCCCACTACTGCCCAACTCTAAGGCTGACCTTGAAGGAGCTTGTTGACAATGTGCCTCAGTGTTCTCATCTGGAAAATAGGGGACTGAACAGAATTGCTGTGACGATTCAATAANTTTCTACGAGCCCGCACACCCTCCCCAAGACCCTGCAGAGCGCAGATGCTCTGGGCGTTTGCTCCTCTGCTGAACAGTCCCTGAAGGCCCCTTGGCTGCCCGACCCAGCACACTCTTCCATCTTCTCTGGTCCCTAAACCTGCTCTGGACTTTCTAACCACTGGGGTCTGGGGCTGAGACATGCTGATCATACACCGAAAAATGACATCTCGAACTAGAAAGGCTGAAGGCCTGTAGCTGAGACTCCAGGAAAAATGGGGTAGAAACCTCAGCTTCACCCCAGCTCTGCCATCAACTGACCATGAGAACTTAAACAAGGCTGCCCCTTCTCCAGGCCCCAGGCTCCTCACCTATGAATAGTGAGGGCAAGACCCAGTCATCTCCAAAGGCATTGCTAGCCCTGAGATCCCCGAGAAACTCAAGACTCCAGGGCCCTTGCTTATCATCCTCCACCCCACCCCTGCACTGTGCAGATTGGGAAGGGAGGCTCTCTGATCGGCTGGCTCCAGCCCCTTCTCCCCCGCTCCAGGGGAAGGTGGAAAAACCAGCTCAGTGTCCAGCCAGGAAGTAGCCCCTGGCTGAGCACCGGCATCCAGGAGCCCACAGGAGGACGCGAAGGGCTGCTCCCCAACTCCCCTGAGCAGCCAAGCTGGACTCCCCTGAAGGCAAGTCCCTCCAAGGGGAGAGGGGCCTGGACGAGGTGACAGCCAGCACTAATCACCACAAATTAGCAGGGGAACTGAGAGAAGGAGGGAGGAGAGTCCTGGTACATAAACCCACCCCCCCAGCGTGACAGCCAGGACAGCCGCCCGACCCTTGGCGTCACTGCGCCTGAGAAGGAAAAGAGCATCTGGTGTCCCAACACTGCTGTGCCTGGGACTGCTTGCAGCACTCCGAGAAGAGCGCTGTGCTCACTATGCTCAGGGCGGGGTGTGTGACACGCTGGAAAGGATATGGGGCTATGAGCCAGGAGGCCCGGGTACCGGCCAGGCTCTGCACGAACCAGCTGGGTAACCTTGACAGTCACTTTCCTCTGGTCTCATTTTCCTACACTGAAAAATGAAGGAGGTGGATGAGAAGATTTCAATGTTCCCATTCAGCTGTGACATTCTATAATTTTCCTAAATGGGAATGAGAATCAGATCTAATCAGCTAGAACGAATTCAACCAATATTTTTAGGTATCTTTAACTTGCCAAAAAAAAGATTCTACATATTTTTTTTCTGAGTGCTTGGGGATGCTACAGATAGAAGGAGTCTATTGCAATATATAATGCCCCCCCAACCCCCACCCCACACTGAAGCATAAGAGGCTTGCCTGAAGCCTGCCATTGGCATCCACTCCCTACAGCCTCTCTGTCAGCAAGCCCACCCACCCCTCCAAGGTGGCTGACAGAACTAGAGTGGGATTAACCTGTATCAATCTTCCCTGTTCCGACTGATGAGGCTTTGGGGATTCTGGGAGAGCATGGAGGTACTACTGCCTGAGTCATTAACATATGTAACATAACAGAGAACTCTCCCCAGAACATCTCTGGAGGCAGAAGACAAGCGAGTCCCAAGGGTTGGAAGGCCTGCGTCTGAGGAAGCTCGTCCACTGAATTATTAATGAAATGCTGAACACTGCTCAAGTCTCCCATGACAGATGGGTTTTGCAAGCTGATGGTTCTGAGGCCAATTAAGAAATGATTGTGGATTCCAAGGCAGTGCCACCAACAGCGAGTGTCTTACAATGTCTCCAGAATCCACTACAGGAAATTTGGTCAGCCATCTCCTTGGA